GTTAGAGAAGACCAAAGAGGAGATATATGGATAAATAAAATGTCAGACGTTTTAAGCAGAGTATGATAATGAAGGAGATTTAGGAGCAGAGGGTGACAGTTAATGTGCAGGCAGAAGCGAGGTGTCAGGAACGGTGGAAACTGGAGGAGTAACTTGAAGCAAATGAATTTAAAGAAGTGGTAGTGTGAAAAATAAAATATAATGATGAGGTACACTGGGGTGAAATTATATTTGAGAAAATATGCATGGAAGTGAAGCATCCAAAAATACAGATGAAAGCTATTGGACCTTTTCATAGACCAAACATTCCACAGGCTGTGATCATACTCACACACTTATCTGCGGTAACTGCACAAAAACTATAACAAAACACTTCACAGCTCTTACCTTGACATTTTAATCATTCATAAAATAGATCAGTCCTTGTGTGAATCCAATACGCGGGTCTCTTTCCTCTCTGTGCCGCTCTTACACGTTGTTTAATAAGAGAGAGCAGTTCACAGCACTGGGAGAGAGTTAATTTGCACCTGCGTGAGAAGAAGAAATTGTCTCTTTGAGGGGGAAAAGACTAATTGATGCCTTGGTGTCTGTGTGCGTGGGCGTGTGTGTATGTGTGTGTGTGTACGTGCCTGCACACATGTGCAATAAATTATCTGACTGCCAACGTAAGCTGGTGATTATTTACTGCACATGTTTATCTGTGCATGTCTGTCGGCGCGTGATAACGAAATGTCACCAAAGACGAGGACGTTAATGAGGCCTTTTTGCAGCCAGTTGTGGACGGAACAGCTCTGTCGGTGCTATGTTGTTTAATTACAGCTGTCAGGTTGTTGTCATCTGTGCAGAGATGGGGTGGAAGAATTGACACCAAAGTCACAATTGGGAAAACAAACTCTACGTTGACCTACATCAGGTGTTTTCAAATTAGGTGAATGTGAGTCCCCCCACAGAGTAGGTAAGGACCTCCCCTGTGACTCTTTGGCGGCCCCCAGGGGAGGTGCACCTACCCTATTTTACACTGGAACTTTGTAACATTAACCCATCAATTTTAACCATCACCTTAATTATTTGGATCTAAATGTTTAAATCAAAGTAAATCGAGTTTTTACTCAGTTTGACCCATTTTCTACCACCTAACCCTTTCCAAGGTTGTGGGGATGCTGGCTCTCAGCAGTCATTGGTTGAGGTTACTCCCTGGATGATTATCCACCTTGTGGCCGCAGAGTTAAATGACAGTCTAACAACATTTGCATGTGAATGATTTTGTGGAGTGCATTGGTTTCACATCCTGGCCAGCGTGGACAGGCCGGGGTTATTTCTCATTTAGTAAAGATCACAGGCAGTGTAAATGCTCTGGCGGCAAGCCCTGAATGCCAACTCTGGTGTGATTGGCAGCTCGGCGGCAGCAGCAGTATTTTGCTAAATGTCCTTGGACAGGGTGTGTGTGAGAGTGTGTAGCTTGCTGATTTTTTTTCTGTGCAAAATTCCCATTTGAATAACTGTTTGAGCCAACTTCACAAACTCGTTTTTTTTAAAAATGTAATTGTTTTCCATTTGTAACATGAGGAAGTTATGGTCCAGTTATGGCTGATCGTTTGATGTACACAGAATGCTTACAAAAATATCTCTATACCTGTGAACTGAAAATCCTTGAGAATAATTAGACAACTATTTTTTGAGATGACTCGGATCAATCCCAGAAAGAACTAATGCCATTTACAGACCTGGAAAAACTCAAAGGAGAAGTTATACTGTTAGTGCGGTTAGCTTGACCTAGCCTAGCATAGGTGAAGACTGACTTGTACACAAATAAAAAAAAACGAAACATTTTTAAAACTTCAGATTCAATGTAGTTGAAGAGGAGAATATCAGTGTTAAATCTAATTATTTGTTATAATTAATTAACATTTTAGCGCACCACAGTTGGGGGCAAAGAGCATCACAGAACTACTGCTAGCCCTGACTAGTTATCTGCGGTCAGTAGCAGTGCTAAAGCTGTTGTGGCTGCCATTTGTCTTCGTACATTAAACACCTTTTCCCCAGCCTGTACAATGCTGTATTGCAGATAGAACAGATGAATTTGCTAGCGTGCTGTGCTAGGTTCCAGAGGTGGGTAGTAACGAATTACACTTACTCCGTTACATTTACTTGAGGTTTTTCAAAATAAAATACTTCTAGGAGAAGTATTAAATCACTATACTTTTAACCTTTACTGGAGTAGATTTATGAAGAAAAAACAGTACTCTTACTCCGCTACATTAGGCTATACTGAGCTTGTTACTCATTACAGAGATACTGGATAAAGCTTTAGCTATATTCTCTATTCTCTATAGAGCCATGATCCAGTATCTCTACTTTTATTTTGTCAGAGCGTGACTTCCGCCCAAGGCTCTACCGCGTGACTGTAACCAATAAAATGTAGCCCTTGTTGCGCAGTCTCGTCATGTGACCATACTCGATCTCGGCAGCGGGACGGATTAGTTTAGCAGTCAATATCCACCACAGCAAAAAATGGCCGAATCAACGGTCAGCAATGCTGACAAAGACAGGCACACCCCTGGCCTCATATTAAAAGTACGTTCACGTTACAAACAGTGCGAAACAGCTGTTTCATCATGCGGTGTCTTCTGTGTCGGCCCAAACAGACGGATATTTCAGCTTTCAAAAGCTCATCATCCAACCTAAGGAAACATGTTGCGATAAGTTTGACCTACAAATCTTCTTTTTTTTTCTTTTTGTTGTGGATAGGCGAATGTTTGTCCTGTTAGGTTACATGGGTACTCAGTGCTGAGCTTGATCTGCTTGTAGCCTCAAAGACGTGTTTTTATCCACAGAGGGTCGGAAGTTTTTGTTACTTGTGCTGTAATTTAAGTTATTTCGTAAATATTTAATTCTTTATGTACGTTATGTTTATCTGATTGAATGCACGTTAAAAAATAAATGTTACTCAGTACTTGAGTGTTTTTTTCACTATGTGCTTTTTTACTCTTTCTCAAATAATTATTTGGATGACTACTTTTTACTTCCACTTGAGTTAATTATTATTCTGAAGTAACAGTATGTTGGTGCCGAAAATTATTTGTCACCACTGTTGTCATCTAACTGCCGCAGATAGAATGACCTGAAAAGAACCACACCTGACAACGTTGTACTTTTTACTCGCTGCGAGGGGGAGCAGAGAGACCAACAGCTTCGCAGAGTTGGCTCACCTAAGTCCCAAAGTGTATGAGGACTACAGCTCCTTTTATTGAGAAAGTTTCACAAGTACTGGGCAGTTGTTTTTTTGGTTAAGTTTTACTCCCAGGGCAAAGGTCATCTGATTCCCATACTTGATGAGAAACAGACCTCATCCTTTATGGACCTACATTGTAAAAAACCTTTTAGGAGTACCTACTCCTGTCAAGCAGACCATTATTTAACACACTTAGATAACAGTTTATGGTTCACCACACTTTGGTTTAACACACTTAGATAGCAGTTTTTGGCTGCTCTACCCACCTCTGCTAGGTTCTAGCATGCTAAAAGCATAATATTCAATGATATTCTGTCATTATTTACATCCAAAGGACAACCAACTACAACTATGATGACTAACACAACTATATACAAAACAACTTTTTTAGTGTATTAAAATCTTTACAAATTTGCTCCTGCTAATTTCAGACACAACAGTTAACCTAAGTTTGGTGATAATTAATTTTTAAGCGAGTGGTCGATGAGGGTCGACCTGGGGAGGCAGCTCCAATTCCCCAGGGAGATCAAAGAAACTTCGCTCCGGCCAGATCTGATCATGTGGTCAGAACCACGCAGGACCATTCTGATGGTGGAGCTTACCGTCCCATGGGAGGAAGGCATGGAGGCTGCCAACGAGCGGAAACATGCAAAGTACGCAGGCTTGGCAGCAGAATGAAGAGAGGCTGGCTGGAAAACCATCATGTGCCCCATTGAAGTAGGATGCAGGGGCTTCGTCGGGTCCTCAACTATACGCCTGCTCTCCGACATGGGATGCACAGGAGCAGGGCG